TAGCTCAGTTAGTTAGAGTATCAAACAAAATGTTGAAACTTGTATTGCTGCGCAATACAAAAACAAATCCAGTCACCTTCAACTCAGCCCTGTAGTCATTCATTGAGTAGTATTTAGTACGCAAAAATGTTGGTTAATTACGGATATTAGGACTTAGGACTTAAGAATTAGAAATTAGGACTTAAATTAACAACTACTATAAAGTTTATTTTCAATCTGCCAGAAATGCAAGCAAGCAGCAGACAATAGATAAGCACATGATAAAATTTAAAGGTCAAAACATCATGAAACAATACAAAAAGAACAACCCTTTTAAGTGGGGATTTAAGTTGTGATGGTGTAACAGGCTACCTTTATCAGTTTGATTTTTATACAGGACGCAAAGTAAGCACAGAGTATGGCCTTTGTGAGAGTGTTGTTGTCATATTGTCAAAAAAACTCGAACAATTATTACACTTTACAACAATTATATGGGTAGTGTTGATCTCATGGACCAAAAAAAAGTATCGTATGAAACTGATCAAAAGTCTAAAGTCAAGTATTTTTTAAGAATTTTTTTTTATCTTCTTGATATTGCTGTGAACAACAGTCATTGTATTTATTTACAAATCAATCATAACATCACTGCTATATAGATAAATTGTCAGCCGAGAACCAAGAGGCCGTATGCCCACATTTTGTGTTTTTTCTTTATTATTATTATTAAATATTCAACAATCAATGGGACATGTGTCCAATAAATCTAGTCTAAAAAAAAATACAACTTTTTAAATTTTTTCAAAATTAGTCGGACTTTCTGGCAGAAATTCTTTACAAATTAAATTTTAAAACTTGATTTTCTCGGAAACACAAAAAATAGACATGCGGCTTCTTTGTTCTCGGCTGACGAAATGGTCAACAAGAAATCTTATAGGTCAATATTCTAACAGACATAGAAATGCTCCATTAGTAGCTGTTAGATTAGTTTCAAGATTTCTCCTAACAACACCAAAACCATAACACTGTTTGATCAGGAAAGAACAACACAAACGATGTGCTCAATGTGCCAAGCATGGTATTGAAAACCGCAACGATAGTTTCTGTGACACATTGTTTTCACAAATTAGTTTTTATCTTGTTTTCACAAATTAGTTTTTTTACATTATACTTATTTTCGGCTAAAAAAATGAATTAAAACACACTAATTATATGTGACTACCATATGGAAAAAATATGACCCATAATTCAATTAAGAATTCAATTGAGTATCACGTTTATAGGCATCATAAGATGAAAAAAATAAAATTATTAGTATGCCAAATAAAAATTTGAAAACATCCAATTAAAAAATGAAAATTGTTTACTTTGTTACCTTCATCCATCAGATTACAGAAAGATTTTAAGCTCTGAAACAGCAATGTAGAAAATTTTCTTTCATCTGGTCTACTCCTGACATCAACTCGGACTTAACAAACAGTCAAAAATCTAAAAATAAAGATCTCGTACTTCTGTTTCCAAATGATCTTTGTGAAGACGAGTTTATTGATGAGTTCCATCACTTTTCTTTTGTTCGATGCCATCTACTGACAAATGATCGGCCCTTAGATCTTTTAAATAGCATTCATGTGAAGGGATTTGAAAGATATTTTCCACAGATATGCATCTATCTTCGTATCTTTCTTACTATGTCAGTACATGTGGCTGAAGGCAAGAGTTCTTTTAGCAAGTTAGCTCTTGTCGAGAACTCTTTATGAGCTACCATGGGAAAGGATAGTCTTAACAACTGTCTTTGTGAACTGTCTTAAATACAGAATTTTAAAAATATTTTGTGAATACTAGAAATGATAGCTTTACTTTTCTTATTATTAGGTTAGGAGGGGATGGGGGCATCCAGTAAATTTTGTTAATAATATACCCCGGGCGTTATGAAGTCTCTGTGCACCCATGATCGTAGAGAATCATACTTATCATTTAGTGTTTTATACGGTGTTGCAACTTTAATTTAATTAACTGTGTGGATATGTTTCTGTAAATAATTCTCGTATAGTGCAATTTTAATTATTTTATTATGTGGAATCAAGGCCAACAACACCGGGGGAGGGGGAAAGGGGGCACGTTCCCATTTTTTTTCTAAAGGACTTTAATTTTTTTTTTAAAGAAAATTCAAGATATAGAGGACTTTTTGTCAAATTGACTAAAGTGCTCCGTGTCCCTCCACTTCAAAACCCGTGTCATCGGGGCACTTTTAATTTCTCATTTGGTATCGTTGTTTTAATTGAACCTTACGTGGTTTCGTAATTCTTGTCTGGTATCGTGTTTCATTTTATATTCAAGAAACATCTGTTAAAAAACATTAGAAAAGCTATCTTAAGAGTATTAATTTCAAAATAAACTTGAATACTAAGTCAACACGAAATGTACGCACAAAAATGCTTTTGTTTTAAAGATTTGATTGGTTATTTTTTTATTAGTTATTTATAGTTATTTATTGTTATTTATATAGTTATTATTGTTATTATATCGTTTTAAAAAAATTCAAAATACTTTGACTGAGCAGCGCTTAATAAAAGTTCGATAATATTAAGTTTTATGAGTGATATTTTACAAGCGATCACCTCAAACACAAAGTTATCAATCTAAAAGCGAAGCTTTATTTACGAGCTACATGAGTTTTTTTTAAAGAAATTCAGTCACGAATAAAAATATAATTTTAATGAATTTGTTATACTTTTCATATCAACTTATCAAATTTGAATATATTAAAAGAAAAGATTAAAATTTTAAAATTAAAAAAAACAACAGGTTTTCTTTGTAAAACATCAATAAAAAAAACATTTTATTTTCCCTTTTTATGATGCTGCATAATTATACAATACTATTTTGTAATAGGCTTTTCAATTTTAAATACTCGATTTTAAATATTTCAAATAAGTTTCGTTTTTGCTGTTTTTACTTACATAAAAACAGCAAAAACGTTGATTCTTATGGAATTTGTGCAGAATACAAGATACTATAAAAAAATTTACAAAAAAAAAAAAATTAAACTAGTCAAATTAATAATATAAAATTGTTGATAAAAAATTAATTTAAATTATCATTAAAAAAGTTAATTTTTATGCAACGTTTTAAAAACAAAAATTAAAACCAGCTGTTTTGTTAAAAAAAAAGAATGAAGAAAAATATCGCTTTTCATATTTTCGCTTTTAAACTTTTCGCTTCGACTACCCCGCTACCAGATATAAGCGTAGGGTTTCAATTTTGTGATAAAACAGAAAGCGTAATGAAAATGTGTTTTATTTATTTAAAATTAATTAATGTACGTAAAATTTTCTACACCTGTCGCTTAATGACCATAGTGTACACTTTTTCACACACAAAAAAGTTGATTTTATTGGTCATTCTGATAGATTTTCTCAAGAGAAAAAACGAAGAGTTTTATTGATAATTAAAAAAGAAAAGTAAAGAAAAACACTTAACTTTATATAAAATCATTTATGTTATGTTATTTATCAATTTTCTTTTTTTTTTTTTTTATTATTACAATATTTATAATAAAATAAATTTAATAAAAAGATAATAAAAGTTTATTAATTATATAATACAATAGGCTTCTTGTCACCCGTAATGACACTCGTGAAAAAATATAGTGAAAACTAGGTGGTTTTTGATTGGCGTGCAAGATTTAACTATGCACAACTTGGTTTTACGTTTAGATTCCATCATTTCGTAGAATCATTGCTAGCATCTACATTCGTTTTCATTCTCAAGTTTGCAGTTTTTAAATTACCATCTCTATTTACGACTCTATACAAAGAGTTATTAGAGAAAGGTTGATTAATACGCTTAAAAGATTCTTCGCAAACAGTTTTCAAATCAATAATTCTGCATATGTGATTCGTTTTTTTATTTCGTAAGATAAACTACAAGCAAAAATGAAGTATAATATACTATATATGTTTAAATATTTATAGTTAATTACTACATTTAAAGAGATAACTGTTATTAGTGTCTAAAATGTTCTTCAGTTTAAAAGTCAGTTTGTTCTTGATGTTATCAGGTTTTTCTCGATAACATCAGGTTGTTCTGACTCGATATAATCAAGTTTCTATATACTTTACATTTCAAAACTAATCCTAACCCTGACTTTGGTTTTGTATTTGTAGTGCGTAATTTTATTAATTTGGTTATTAACTATTTACTTGCAATAAACCAGAAAAATAATTATTTAAAAGAATCTGCCATCAGTGGCATATATGCCATCAGTGGCATATATGCCATCAGTGGCATATATGCCATCAGTGGCATATATGCCATCAGTGGCATATATGCCATTATTGGCATATTGCAATGCATTTTTAATATTTTATAATTGAATAGCGTTTTTCTAAAAGTCCATTTGCTTTCGAAATTGAATTTTTTCAACATTCGGATTCTTTATTAAAAAAGGTACAAATCTAAGTATGTCAGTATAAATATAAAAAAATGTTCATTACGTTTTTTTACGATTACGAAATTATTGATATTTAAGAAATACTCCGCCGGATAATTTTACTCAAAACAATAAAAATGTGACGTAGCGCCTTTTAGAAACAATTAAAATGTGACGTAGCGCCTTTTAGAAAAATGCTCTTTAATTGTGTATCGTAAAATTTGTACTTTTTAAACAAAGGATAATTGTAAATTAAAAAAAAAGAGTTTTGTAATCTGTAATATCCGATAACTGCTTTTAGTGAAGATATAGATATAAATATAATTACAGGATAAATATTTAAAATAGTATTTAAAACTAATTACCTAAGGCTATATAGTTTTATGACTATCATATTTAATATAAGTTAATTTGAAATAATTTGATACAATCAGAAAAATTTGATCCTTTAGATCGTTTTATGCTAAACCTATTTGCTTTATCGCGTCGTGTTAACGCTTTATTTTAGTTTCATTCGTTGAATTTTTTAAAAGCATTTTAAGAAAAAAACAAGAAATAAAAATCGCGATCAATACTAGAGAGTTACACTTACATAGTCATTGTTTAGTGCAATATTTTCTTGTATTGCTAAATTAATGATTTCTTGAGGATCAGATAAAACCTTTGAGTAATGTTTACTTGATTTGCTATTTCTTGTTTCTTGAGCATACATACTCTCATTGCGAAACTCATAGTTGGTTTCCACCGGACTGGAGGCTTCTGATGTATTTTTTGACATTTAATAAAAAACTGGTAAAGAGAGCTTACTTCAACTGTGGTGATAATCGCACTCTTCGGAAAAGTAAGAGCAACAAAGTTTTTTAATGCACTTTCAAGAGTAATGTTGTGCATAGCAATCAAAAAAGCTCTGGTATTACCTGTAGAGTAGGTATTATGAGCCTCGATAAAAAACCTATTGTTTATTGATTACTATTTACAAGAATTATAACTAAAGTTGATGCAATCAATAATTAAAAATAAATAAACAAACAGTGTTTTTATTTAAATTATATTTATTATAACAATACACAATACTATTTTACAAATCAACTGCGGGTGGGTTGGTAACAAGTGTGCGGTTATTATTTAATCACTGCAGAAAAGATTAAAATAAATTCTAATCTCAAGGTGTGACTAATGCATAATTCTTTTTTCTACCTTTAGACGACAATTGCATTTTGAATTTCGTGCTGATTTCATAAAAATTTAAAAATATCTTTTGAAATATTGCTACTAAATTATTTAAACAATTTAAATTATTTAGTTTAATATAATTTATGCTGTACTTGCCAAAACAGCTGGTGTGTTGGCACGTTTACTATGACAACAGATAGACATGCTTTCTACACAACAAAACATATTGTGCTGCGATAACATTGCAATCTTTACTTATTCTTTTTTTTAATATTTTATTTTTAATACAGTTTTAATTACTCATTCTTTTTATCATTTATTTTTTCTTTCTTATTCTGAAAGAAAATTATATATAAATAACTTTTATATAATTTATTTATAATTATATATAAATAATTTTTATATAATTTACTTATCTGAATAAGAAAGAATTAATTTTTTAATTAATTTATTTAAACCATGAGTATTTTTATTAAAAGAAGAAATGCTTTCTTGGTTGACTCTCGATGAACCAAAGTGTCTGAACTTATTTTTTTGTTAAAAGATCTCTGACCATATACTTTAGACACTTCAGACAAAGTTGAAAATTACTTTGAAGCTTTTTTTTATATTAAACCAAAATAAATAAAAAATATTCGTATTCAAAAAAAAATTTCAAACCTCAAAGCAAGTTTTTATATTGAAGGACCAAAGAGGTTACTTTTAATAAAATAGACCACCGGTCGTCTAAATGTATCTTTTAGGTATATAATGCAGTTATGAGTTCTGACTCTTATTGCATATTTTATAACGTTTAAAAGTACATTAAAATTATTTAAAATGTTATGGTTAAATGGCTGATTTTTTTTAATCATAAAAGGAAATCAACGGCGAATTTTATAAGTTTAAAAAAAAAACGAAAATTTCTGTGCAAAATGAATTATAACTTTCTCTTATGGAAGAAAAGACAAGTGTTGCAAAAATTTTCTCAATTTTTTTTCAAAAGACTCATTTAGGAAACACTCATTTTACATTGTATAATTAAAAATATTATTAAAAAATCACTACCATATTGTAAATTCAAAAAAGAAAGAAAGAAGAACACAAAATTGATCTAGCATACGTTATATTGTTTTATAGATCTTTGATAACATTATATAGTTGTAATTATTGAATTTGGTGATTATGTGAAATATTTAACTGTGAAACTGTGAATTTGGTGATTATGCGAAATATTTTATATATCTTAATATTTAGAAACTCAAATTTATTAAAACAAGTATTTAATTCAATGAATCAAAAAATTAATCTTTAGAACCATTATTGTTCCTAACTACAAATAATGTGCCAAACTACAAATAATGTGCCAAACTACAAATAATGTGCCTAACTACAAATAATGTGCCAAACTACAAATAATGTGCCAAACTACAAATAAAATGCCAAACTACAAATAATGTGCCAAACTACAAATAATGTGCCAAACTACAAATAATGTGCCAAACTACTTTTCTTGATTTAAATAATATTTAAAAACTCGGCATATAAAATTCGCCGAATGGTCACACACGAGCAGTGAACGCCTGAGGGAAGAACGTTAGAATGAAGGAGAATTATTTATTAATGAAGTACATTAGAATAAAGGAGAATTATTTATTAGACAAAGCATATTTTGACAGTTGTCAAGACAAAAATAAAGATTAATAGAGGAATACTTAAAAATAAATAAGACAGGGTATACAATTAAAACAGTACTCAACAATAATAACAATAAAAAAAATTTAAAAAAATTAAAAACAAATAATAATAATAAAAAAAAAAAAAATAAATAAAAAATGAAAAAATATATATATATATATAAAAATAAAAAATTTGTTTTATAAATACCAATATGAACTAAAATATACAAGAAATACATAACCGGTCAAAAATTTGTAAAACAAAAAACCATTCAACAAATTAAAAATATGCTAACAACAATGAAAGGACTAATAATGGGAAAAAAAAAACATTAATGCTAATGTGTAAACATAATTAGTGTAGTGATTAAGTAATAAACATCTCCTCAGAGTCGCGTCTATTATTACTGGCGTTTCGATGAGGATCAGCATTTATAACTAGTTTATCCCGTCAGACAAACGTCATCGCTACTTATGCTTTACCCCACGCCTATTCCATACTGCAGTAAAAAAGGACTCACTACAAATAGCCAAAACCCAACCAACCCCAAATTTGTAAAGCACCAATATTTTTCTTGATGATATGATATAAAAAGTATAGATTTACTGAACAAACAAAAATAAAAATAACTAAATAAAACACTTACCGTACCACCAAAAGACAACACGAAAACAAAATAAATTAAAATTCTAATAGAAACATAAAAATATTAATCAATTTATTTTAAGAAATAAAACCAAATAGGTATTATTAGCATAAACAAGCCCAAGATAATCAGAAAGCAGTATACCTCATTTAAAAATATTTTTAATAAACAAAACAATACCCTTAAATAAACTCTAACGCTGTCATAGATACCTCATTCGAAATATGATAACCAATCAAAAGTGTAGGAAAATGAGTAACCCGCGAAACCCAAAATCATAACAATAATAGAATAATATATGATAGCGAAAAAGAACGTTCCACAAAAACCTTAAAAATGTAAGCGACATATGTGTAAACATTAAATGAAGGATATAAAAATATTCTCTGAATAATAATAAAGATAAAAATTGTGCATGTGAAAATTAAAACAAAGCTGAGTAATGAATGCAAGATAATATAACATGAAAGTTTCTGTAAACAGTAATAATATGAAAATCAGGAGATATGTAAAATATTAATAAATATAGCAATAAGACTAAATAAATATTGTAATAAAACCAGATAATTTTAAGCCAAATGAGTGGTTAAAAAATTAGTTGTGGGTATTATAACAATGATATAAATCGTGATATAAAAACGATGTAGAAAGCAGGAAAAAAAATTGTTAAAAAGTGAAGTTTTCTCTACGGTCCGAACTAAAAGAAACTTTGAAACCATATCTAAATCGAAATTTCCGAAAAATAAAGTTTTCTCTACGGTCCGAATTAAATGTAACTTTGAGACCATAACAAAATAACAAGGATAACATACTTCATAAAAACAAAATAACATACTTCATAAAAACAAGTCGAAAGCCGCTAGTTTATAAGAATCGCTCTTATACTTATATGTAAATTCAGATGAATCCTTTAATAAAAAATTCAATCACACATTTTTTTTTTTTTTTTTTTAATTTTAATTCACCTCCTCAAGGCCGAGAAGGCCACTACAGACGAGGAGGCTACTTATTTGTGGCTTTAACCCTCTCTCAACTCTATAACTCCGAAACACGAACCTTGACGAACAAGGCCGCTGCGCGGAGAAACGAGTTGAGCGCGGTACTACCAAGGACGTGGTGGGGATTGAACTCGGAACCACTCGTTTATGAAGCGAGCGCTCTACCACTACACCACTACCGCATACATGATAAACACATATAGATAACATACAAATCTGTATCTACATTTTAACAACATATCTATTAAAAGAAAATATTATCTAAATAAGGATGAGTTCAAACAAAGATAGTTTATCTATGAAAGAACAAAAAGCATGCAAAAGATGTAAACAGGCTGTATGTGCATAAGGGTGTATAGGTGTAATGTGTAAGTCTGTGCTGATTATGTCGTCTTGTATTGTTAGTAACCAGCGTAAAAGATTTGTCTCTGAACTAAACCAAGCCAGCCCAGCCATACTCTAGAAAACCATGATGGATTAAACACCTATGCATGGATTTATAACTGACTTATGACTAAAAAGCATCTTCCACAGACAAAAATCCTCTTTCGCGGTGACAGTAATTGCGATCAGGAAAATAGTCGTGCTCGATGACCGTAACACTAACCCTTACGGGCTAGGCCCAATATTATTTAAAAACTTTGGCATATAAAGTAATAGCTTAACTTACTCTTTTTTTTGTAGCTTGAAAAGCTACAAAAAAAAGAGTGCGATTATTATACTAAAATATACTGAAATGTAGACTGGTCTATCTATCAAAAGCATCAAAACAGAATTGTTAAAGTTACTCAATTAAAAGTATAAAAATTAAAATAATTTTTAAAGCATTATTCTTCATTCATAATAGAACATTTATTGAAAATGAAATGTTTAAGTCATTCTAAGTAAAAACTGTAAATTACATTTACACAACAAAAGCTAGTTCACAACACAGGCTAGTTCACAACACAAGCTTGTTCACAAAAGTTATAATTAAATAGAGCAGAATTTGCTGTTGGTAAAATGGTTTATAATAAATTACAAAATTTAAATACAAATTAAAACTGCTTCTATATTAAGAAAACTAGAATCTAAAAATTTTAAAAACATTTGAGAAAAGTTACTATTAAAATATAATTAAATATAAAAAGTTTCCAAAACATTAAGTTCCTATCAAATAAATTAACTGTAAATTGTATAAATCAACTTGAAACGGTAAATATTCCAGAATACTTGTTTCAACACTTGAATGATACTGCAACATGTATTGATAGACAAAAGACTTATACTTTTAGAATGAAATAGAGTAGAAATATGCTATGCACTCAATTTCTTGAGTGTTGAGTCCAAACTCCGTAAAGTTCAAGACTGTAACAGCTATACTATATAATATATATTTTTATATATAATAATATTATATATATATATATATATATATATA